CACGTTTCACCGGCGGGACCATTTTTTTTAAACTCTGAGCCTGTGAATATCGCAGATGGGCCTATAATTTAGGCACAACGAAAGCAAAACTGCACATGCATCGTTTCTGGTAGGCTTTGCTCGATTTCACAAATCAGCAGAAAATGTTCGTGTCAATTTTGCTGCCACTACGAAAAACCGCTTCCACTGGGTTTCCAAAAATCGATTCTTACGCTTTCCACTTATCCAGAGCAATTGCAGAATTCTGAGAATATATGTTTTCTAAAATTGAGAACTTGAATTATTTCTATAAAAAAGTAAATACCACTAACATAAGTTTTGACACGCAACAAAAATCTCTCAACTTCTTTCTTGTACATTCTCACAGATTGCTTTAAGAATAGCGCTATAACGTCGTTCGTTCAATCTGATGAGGTCGGTGGAGTTCGTCTCACTTCATTCCCGTTTTTCCCCGGGGATTTTCTCACAGTCACCTGGAACTGCGAGACATTTCTCCGGAGAGTTCAAGCATTGTAAAATCTAAATCAGTAGGACACCCATGAAACAAAGCGCACGGACCAAGAAAAGGCGAGAGTTCAAAGCGTCCTCCACTCGACCTAATTAAGCATTCAGGTTTCTTCCATTTTAATTCCTTTCCGCGACGAAGTGGCTGCAGCAGCCCCTTTTCCTCGGAGTCGAAAAAGAAAAGGACAGCATGGAGCAGAAACGAAATTTTCCTCGTCGGTTCCTCGCCTGAGGAAATGTTTTAGCAAGATAAAATGCCGGCTCCAAGATTACCTTTTATCGCTCCCAACGACCCCCCGCTTCCTGGATTTCTTCAGTTATACTGACTTGCCGACCGAGCTGCCGAAGCCGACGCCGCCGCTCGGCCGACCGGCTGTCCAGACTTCCCTAATGCTCGTACTTGGCGCCCCACTCGCGAAGAACACAAAGGGCGCGCTACTTTCGCTCTTCAATCCGGCGGGGGCGAGCCCTTCAGGACGGGATCTAGTCGCGGAGGGGGGGGGGTGCACAGTGAACCCAAAATGGGAGACAAAAGCCCCCCCAATATGCTTCGAGTTTTCTTCATTAGAGGGAGGTCTCAAGACTTGTTCAATGTATTAAGAATTTCGTAAGTTCACGAATGTGTTCTTATTTACCTCTTTTTGGTATAGTTCACTGCAGCTGTTAAGAATATATTACGTCCAAAAACTTGTTTTTTTCAATTTGCTAGCCTTACAGCATTATTCCCTTATCCTGATATTGTAAGAAATGAAGTTAATAGATACACTGACAGATGCGTCTTTTGAGACTTCTGTTTTATTTTCTAGTAGAAAAATGTGCTGTTACATTCAGGTGTTTCATTTCTCCAATTATATTTGTACGGCATTTTATGCTTGTCCCCAACGGCAAATATTAAAGGGAAACGATTTAAATACTCTCCTCTGTAACTACTACTAGGATGTAAATGATATTAAGGACAATATTGTGAAATAGCAAGCGCTCTTAACACCTCGTAAATTACAACTTTTGCTGTTCAAACAAAAAGGCGGCATCACCGAGAAATTGAAATTAATGTAAAATTGAAATGAATTTAATGAATGTTGCAACTTTGAAGTACTTCTAATTGTTTGAATGATTTTACATTAAACGAAATTGAAAATACAGATTTTATATGATTGGTGGAAGGAAGGCTTGAAAATGTGTACTTCCGATTCAAATACCCATTCAAATATATATTTTAATGTCATTAACTTTTCCAAAAAGTGGTCCACAAATGAAGAAAATAGATATTAAAAAGTTTAGACGCAATTTACCGGGTACTTTAACATTATATTCGAATTTGATGTGGACTCTCTTAATTTCCAACACATTAATGATCACATTATGTTTTGTTTATATGTACACAAGCCATTATTGTTTACACTGAATAATAATTCCAAAACGTAAAGGCCTTTATGTTCGTTTCACCTTATTTATTAAATCCTCGTTCTGAGTCTTATTTCTTTCTCTTTCATGAATCGATATTAATTCTCAATTACAACTGAGAAGGGTCTCCAATTAACACCTGTTCCAAAAATATGTAAGAGAGACCTCATTAGCTGATAAATTGCAAGTTGTAGTTCTACTGCGTAGTTGCCAACAGCGTCAGGTGACTGACTCTTTTCGAAGGTCTCGCGCTTGTTAGGATGGTATCTTCTTTGCACGAGTGAGTTTGCAACATGTGCACTGGAAAGCAAAATGAAGGCCGTAAGTACCAGCGTGTTTTTTAATATGGTATCTAATTACTGCGTATTGTTATGTGACACCCGTTTTCAAAGGTTTCTGGCTCTGATGAAAAGAAAATATCCCTGCATGGAATGTTTAAAAGGGTGTGATGAATCATTCAAAAAGTTCTCATACTTGAACAAATTCATACTTTGAAATAAAATTGCTAAAGAGGCAAGCTATTAAAAGCCAAAGCATCTAAGAGAACTCTCATATTAGCAACATTTGTTCTTCGGGCATTCAAATTAAAATATTTAGTGGTTCTTCAACACAAAATTGAAGTAAATTGTTTCAGAGAATATAATTATAATATCAATAATATGAACTAAAAATTTCTTCAGCTCTATTCAAACAAACAACGTTTACATATAATAATAATTACTCACGTCATTTGATCTCTATTTCATAGTCTCATTGCTGAGACCATATGATGCCGATTCATGTATGAAACGGCATTTGTATGATGAATAGCCCACCATTAAATATAATATTTATTATTGTTTTTCCTGCTGTAGAATTATTACTATTTTGGTACCTCAGGTATAAACAGTCGTATATGTATTTTGTATTGAGATTTGGATAAATTGCAATTTTGACTTACTACAATTTTGCGCTCATGCTAAATTGAGATATCTAATGAATTGGGGTATTTATTCCACCAATACTTTCTGAAAAGAATTTTTGGAGGTAAATACTGGTATTTACGTTTCTTCGAACTCAAAACAGTGAAAGTTGTGTTTCAACCTCTATAGTTATATCCTGTATTGTTATTTACCATGGTGTTATGATAATTTAATACCGCGTAATTAATTATATTGTTATTATGATTTATGGATCAAAATGCATGGTTAGGGTATTTCTCGTTTTAATTCGCTCCGTTTTCGACCCCGCGATCTGAGACCGCTTTCGCGCCGCGAGGGCGCGCTTGCGGCCCACTGCGCGACTCGCCCGCCGAGCGCGTCAAAGGCACCCCTCGCCCGGCGGGCGAACAAAGGGCGGCGCCGAGAGCGAGCCAGCGAGCGAGCGAGAGGGCTCCGTTAAAGGGCGTGGCGCCACCCGAGCGGTCGGAGGGGCGGGGCGGGCGGGCGTGGGCGGTGCCCGCTAGCCCGCCCTTACTACTGCTCTGATAGGGACTATGTACCCGCGCATTCCGTTCGAGTCTCTCCGCCGCGCCCGCCGTCTGAGACAGCGTCCGGAGTAATTGCACACAGGGGCCTCCCCGCGATGAAAGATTTCCGTAAAAATTATGGGTGTGAGCTAAAGATAGGAAGATGTCTCGCCCGACGGAAACAAGTATGACAAAACTTTTGCCGTTTACGAGTGCGTGGAGAAATGACTGGGCACCCAGGGGGGGGCAGGCTGTCCACTAGTTTTCCTCGAGAGAAGTATGGTACGCATCAGTCGAGGAGGAGACCTTGGAAAAGATTTTTATGATTTGCTCGATTGTCTCAGATACTTTGAGCGGCGAGTCGTAAACAAAAGCGGACAACTACGCGCGCGGAGCAGAAAAATACGGCCGCGTTAATTTCGGAGAGGAACTGTTAAAGAAATGTGCAGTTCAGATGTGAATTGCAAGTAAATGTTGGATTGATGGGGCTTTTATCCAATGATCCCGAGTGGGCACACTCGTGATGTAAGCGGTTCTTCATGTGAAGGCGTCTAGGTAAGGTGTTTGCATCAGTCAGATAATGCAAACTGTGAAGTCATGAAAGATCTATTTCAACTCGACTGCAAGAAGCGGGTTAAAAAGTTGGTTGATGTTCTGTAAAAACGTAATCGCGCAGTGAAATTAGTTCCCTGGATGAAGATTGTAAACAAACAGAATCTTCATGCGTTTTTCTACCCTTTTACAACTTTTTTGACGAGTTTTAATTTCGACTTCTTTTTCATAAAAAGACACTTGTTGCATTTTTGTTTCGAAGTAACCAAACTTTGAGAGATAAACCTAACAATGAGCCGTGTAAGTGATGTAATTACATTCTTCAGCTTCTGAAAAGACGAACATTATCAGAAATTTTCCTTTCTTATTTATTTAAGCACTAACAAGGCTTGCATTTTATATTTCATAATTAACACAATTTACATGGGTCGGAATCAATACTTCTCAAAGAGTTAGACCTACATTCAGTGTTTGGAATGTTTCATACTGCAAAGATGATTAATGAATTGTACCTGCATAGCTAGAACATTTTACAGGTACATTAAGTCTCACATAAAATAATCATGAATGCTGTTCTTGAATTATACTCATTTAACACAATATTTCATTGTTTCGACGCTATCGAACTTTTAATCGTTTTATCATGTATGTAAGTACTTCAGTGAACAATAAAAAATAATATACGGGTCATGTTTGTGTAGAAATGCATGCAATACATCCTTATGGATCTTCAATTCATTATTATGAAACAAAGTTCAGGTAACACACGCAATAAATCTGACACGAAACATGCAATCTCAAGGAAAAAGGTACACAGGCGGATTCAGGAAGGACAATATATTTTCGTCGCTTTCGTCATTCCAACGAAACCTCCGATCCCAGTGGAGGGCATAGCACACACAAGAAAGACAGAGTAAAAACAGTGGCCGGGGAGAAATCAGCATCTCCACAAAAAAAGCAAGACCGTGGCCTGAACATGAAAGGATATAAGGGAGTCAAAGGGCAGGCAGTCAGCAGTCAAAAAAAAAATCAGGCGTTGTGGCCCGCGGCGCATGCTCGCCCGGCCACGGGCCTCGAACTCCGGACCACTTACACGCCTCGAACAGCCCGTCAGAGTCTGCGCTCGCCATGGCCAGAACAAACAGAAACAGACTGAATTACTCCACTGACAACACGGAGATGCAGACTGCACTGCAACACAGAACTAAAGGCACACAGGAGGCAGGCGGCGATGGCGGTGGCGGAGGCGGAGGCGTCTACGGGGAGGAGCGTCTGGCCGGGCCACTCCACACGGGGAGGGCCTCCGCGCGTCGGCGCGGCGGGGATGGCTTTGGAATGGGCGATCGACGCTGCGGGGTATCGATACATCGAACGGGCGCAAACCATGATGCAAAGGCTAGACAGCGAAGTTTTACCTGATCCACAAACTAATCACTTGTAGGGCATGTATTAACATCTTCAGGGACTCTAAGTATGGCCACAATAGCGGACTCTCCAATAATATTGAAATACTGAACAACAGGACTCAAAAAGTAATGAAAAAATTAAACTATAACATTTGTAATAAAACTATTTAAAATAAAAATAATAAAATGTAATGTGTACGTATGCAATCTATTTCAAATAATTTTATTACTTTTGTAGGGCACTTTAAAAAAGCAGGTACAACGTTTTAAAATCTGAATCAAATTTAGATTTTTAATAGAATTTCTTTATCTAAGGGACACTACCGTTCATAGTAAATATAAGTATATAAATATATTAATTAAAATACTAATTTTGGGGATTGGTGATAGATAAATTAATCTTTCTCTGAAGTTTTAAAAGATGTTCTTAATTTTGGTTTACAAGACCAATGTTTTATATTAAACTATTAAAACTTTATGATCTTGTTGATGCTGATATTGTTCCATCGTCAACTTATTTCACTCGCCGCCTTTATTAACAGTGTAATACAGTAGAAACCCTCATTTGAAATAACGTCTTTAAATTGGAACTGGTGTTACGATTAGAGTAATCGAAAGCCCTCTGCTGTAACTTTAAAATTTCGATCTCGCTCACAGCGCACCTCACATGCGCCCTGTAAGCTAATTGATAGTACTGCAATGTTGCACCCTTCTCCTTGCATCATGGTAAAAGCACAGTAACAATTTAGGAGTTGTAACGTTCCTAATCGGAAATGTCAACAAAACAGACGAAAAATAATGAGAATAACGAATAGTTGTTCGATTTAATACCATGTTTGGTAACGATGTAGCATTCATTATTGTTCTCAAAACTCTTTTTCGCATTGCAATCAAAACATTTGTACATGGATTTGCCAGATAATTATCTGTTCTGATCATACATTTTCCACTTTTTTACCAACGAATACGCGAAGTCAAGTAAGTTACTATCAATCTCACAAACAATGAAAAACTAAACTTTTTACTTTCAGAATATTTGCAAGTTTTACTTCTACGAAACGTTTCCTGAAATATTACTTCCTTAAGGTAACTTAAGCAACTAAGTTTCAGTTTCATGAAAAATACTGCATATTATAACGTAGAATAGAAAGATTACCGGAAAGTAGTAACATCCACAAATCAAGCGGAAAATGTCGAACCAGAACAAATATTCTTTCCGCATTAAAACTCCCGCGATTTATGGGAAATTCCGATGCAACTGCTGAATGTGCGATATACCGAACCTGACTAACCACTTCGTGGTGGAACATTTCGGTCAGTAGTCGTTGCTCGCCTCTCCGAATAAACTGTATGTTGGTATTTGTGGCATGCTTTGCGGCCAGGCCTTGGACCGCTCAATCGACTATCTATATACTACATTGAGTTACATTCAACTGCTAAAACGGTATTAAAGCCGTAACAGCAAACATACGGGTTAAATCGCGAGGGATCAAATTTGCTTTTCAATTTCCCTAAATACCCTACAAACGAAGAGATTGCAACTTTGAAAATATGTTTATGGGCAGTCCAGAAAAAAAAAATTTTTTTTTAACGTAAACTAATTTGAAGAATGATTTTAGTTTAAAATATGTAATGTTTGGCAGCATGGTCTCGGTTCTTAACAAAAACTGACAGACAGTGAATGATATTTGTCATATTTAACCAAAATATTGTTTCATTTTCAAACCAGCAAGTACTGGAAAGTAAATGTATAAAATAAGAAAAACGAAATATTTAATAAATGTATTCAAACAAAATCCCCATGGTCTGCTGGAAGGCCTTAGTTCGTAAAGAGCTGTTGTGTCAAAGTACATACACACATTCAAACGAAATCTCAATTTTAATTGACTCCTGTATTTAATAAACACAATTATTAAACACATACAAATAGCCACATTTCATTATTGTATAAAATATCATTGTACATTTCGTCCTTTAAATATTAGCAAGAAATTTAGTTACATTCAAACTTGAAAATCACTAAGGCTTCAAATTACTAATAAATAATTGAGACCGTAGTTTATGAAACAAGCTTTTTATGCACACTATGAACAATTCCCACAATTTGAACCCTCATTTTCGAAGTAATAACTTTAAACACTGGACACCAGATAAATATCACACAGAAATACGAATGAGTTCCCATATAACTTCAATGTGACCCACTGCCATGCCAGTTTTTGTTCAGCCTCTCCGCCAGAACCGGTCCCGGAAGTTAGGCCACCAAACGCTCCTAGTCGCGCCAAAAATAACGCGATCGCGAAAAAAAAATCGGAGGAAAAAAATCCGGGCGCCTGATTTTCGTCTCTGAGATGCCATCCCCGCCCGCAGCGGCGGAGCGTCGACAGGCCTCGGGCCTCTGGCCTGCCAGCTCTCTCTACACATGGACCACAACGACGACAGGGATGAGGAGGCGTGGCGCAGCGAGACGGGGCGGGGCGGGGCGGGGCGCCCGCCGGCGCCAGTCGTCGCTAGGGCACCCAAGCCGCGGCGGCGGCGGAGGCGGAGGCGGCGGATGGCAGCCAGCGTCCCCTGCAACAGATGGCTGCGACGCGTGCGCTCTCGGGCACGCCACGCACGCCCAGGCACGCCCGCAGCGCGCATCGCACGGGTTGACTGCTCGGTCGACCGGATGCGTCACGCGGGAAGTCGGTCGAGGTCCAGTCCATCGGTCGCTAAGTGGTGTCTGTGTGCGCGCGTGTGTGTGTGTGTGAGGGCGAGAGAGAGTGAGTGAGTGAGTGAGTGAGTGAATGTGTGTGTGTGGGGGGGGGTGGAAGCACTTGCGAGCTGCGTTACACACACCGAAAAAAAGAACCGTTGGAGTGTACTAGATCCATGATACTGAAACAAGGAAACTTGTTTATAGTATCATGGGTCTGGTAGACTCCACCGGCTCTTTTTTTCGGTGCAGCAGGGGAATTCGCTGCCACTGTACGCAACACGTGTATTGCGTGCTTTCTGCTATCCTATGTGTAGTTTGACATTACCCTGACGTCATGTTTGGTAACAACTGTTTAAATGCGTTTAAGTTGACGGAGTGCAAGTTTCCTAATCAACAATGTAGTAGTCACGAAAATTGTCACGCCGAATGATCATAAAGAAGCATTGAGATATCTCGTTCTTTTCAAACAGTTCGCTCTTAAAAATATATAGGACATAAATTCGCGCGTACTATAAATATTCAAAAGCTATTAACATAAATATGAAGGACTGAAGGATACAGATTTGTCAACACTAATCAACAAGAAAATTGAACAATCATACTGTCTTCCATGACTTTTCTAGATATATTAAAATATTCAATTACGGATAGAGATACAGATCAGAAAGCTGAGTAACTTCTTTTAAGGATACTTGTATATATACCCACAATCTGTTGGAAATATATAAGTACAATTTAAGTTCCAAAAAGTTTGTAATGTCGACGTTCACCACGCAATACACGAGATATCGGATACATCTTTTTCTTATGACAAGTCCTTCAGATCGCCAGCCGGAAGAGATGACGAACAAAGGTTATCGTTTTATCTTGTGTGGTTTTCTGCGTCACTGTAGGCTACTGAATGCATCTAGTGTTTGGGATAACTAGGGTTTTTCGTCTCCTTATGTCGCTAGCATTCAACATCTTTCGGAATTCGTCATTAAACTTGATAAAGCCGTGTTTGTAACTGACCAACTATTTGAAATTTAGTAAAGTCTCCTACATTATGTTTCCAATACTCAAGAACATTAGGAATTTGAGCAAGTATATTGAATATGGATATAAATACGGCACAGACAGTCACAAATGTTCTGAAGAACAGTGCTTAACTCTTCTTATTTTACATGGGAGTTAAAGAAACTGAGTATGTTCCCTCGCATTCTGTAGTTGAGTCAACAGACATCAACATCGTGTTTATAAATACTTGAAAATGAGAACCGGAAAAAGACGAGATTTTTTAACAATTGATTCATAGTGCATCCGAAGGATTGGACTAAATAAATAAATAATTAAATGTCCATAAAAGATCATGAACATTCATATGTAAGAGACAGTTCAATTTGGAATTGTTCCTTGCGTTACAGATTATCAGATTGTATGTTTGGCTGGTATGTTTCGTCACGTTGGTTAAAATCAACCGTACATCCGTACCGAATTTCATTGAATAGTACCCGGGTAATATTTCATTAGAAGCTAGCAAAGAGGGACAATGTTACTAAAGTTGGAATGAAACGGATATTTTATATTACATAGCACTAACCGAATACACTAGTAGGGTTTCATCCGAAGGAATCAATATCTCTGTACCAACTTTATCCAGTGATTCCAACTACTGGTCAAGTTGAAATAGGTCGGATTCATATCCGTCTGCGTTGCATGGAATCACTTAATCAAAATGATCATTGTAATAGTCTGCTGAGGATTTCCCGCATGGAAGTAATCTGACACACCGAATGCACTGTCAGGTGGAATAAACCTACCCAAAGCTTCGTGTGAAATAAACTCGTTATAATGAACATCGTATCATCAAATAGCCGCCCTGCCATTAATGCACCGTCAAATGCTTCATATATGCCGTCTCAGATGTCTCCTCAGTCCAGGCACAAGGCGTGCCTTCGTGCTTTCAACGCAAAGCAACCCGTTTCGGTGCGCCGGTTCTTATGAGTTGTCAGACAGCGTCACAGACGTGCGTCGTCATCGCCCGCCGCCCCACGTGTCTGCACATGCCCTCGACATGTTATTGCTGTACGCTCTGCCCGCACGTGGTCCGTGCTCTCTCGCTAAATCGCGTGTCTGTGCAACGCCCACGTGCATTGTGTCTGACCGTCGCTTTCATGTTCAGCATGTATTTCCCGTGCGTGTATGCCGTAGTACTTAAAACCCCGTGCGTCATCCAAACACGATTCCTGAGGTTCTGTATTGCGGTTTTCGCAACTCTGCCCCTGGCAGCTATCAACTGTTGACAATCTCATCCTATCGGTGACGTCACTATGGTGACTTTCAAGCTTCCGATTGGATGAAACCGTCAACTGCTGTTACGAATACCTGCCAGGGGCAGAGTTGCATAAATCGCAGCATACTCTATGCATCATCCTTGTGGTTTCTCGTCTTCGTGTGTCGTGGTTCGCCTCTGTAAAGTGTCTCGCACCCACGCGTCATCTGTTTCCTTCCCATCTCGTCAACGTGCGTCGTCCCTGTACATTTTCACGGCAAGATACGAGTCTCCTCCTGTTGTACCTCTCCCGCACGCCAGAATGTCTACGCGCCATTATTAAATGTCGCCCTTGTATTTCATTCCTGTGTGCGTTCCCCAGGTCGATTCAGTAGCTTCCCGTATGTCATGTTCCCAAAAGTCACCGTCCGCTCCGTGTGTCTGTTGCTGGCAGTCGTCCACGTGTGTCGTCTCGTGCGTGGCGATCCGCAGCGAAGCGGCCGGGCGGTGGAGGAGGGAAGGCCGTGCGGCCGCACTCACCGCGCTTGCCGTCGGTGACCACTTGCTCGCAGTCGTTGAGGCGCGTCGTCAGCGGGCACTTGAAGAGCGCGCCGCTGCGCGTCGTGTTGGGCTGCAGGTTGACCCCGCGCGGCGCGCCCACCAGCAACCTGCGGACATGCGCACCGCGCGCGTCACTCGACGACCCAAAGGCAATGTGTCGCCAAGTGGAAACATGTATGCCTACGGGGCGGATTTTAATGCCTTTTCTCTCTCACACACACTCTCTCTCTCACACACACACTCTCTCACACACACACTCTCTCACACACACACACTCTCTCACACACACACTCTCTCACACACACACTCTCACACACACACACTCACACACACACTCTCTCACACACACACTCTTTCACACACACACTCTCTCACACACACACTCTCTCACTCTCTCTCTCTTTTTCTTTTCACTTTAGGACCATGCCGTTTAGTATAGAAATTCATTTTACATTATGACAAAAGGAAAGAAACCATTTATATGTCTTTTTCTCTTTTTTTAAAAATTGTTCGTCCATTTCGACTAATAAGTCATTTTAATGCGTTTTTTCCTTGACTTCATCGATTTTAATATAATGTTAATAGTAACAATATTTACGAGGTGCAACAAGTGTTCACCACAGAAGTCGTGAGTAGCCTGTTCGATTTTGTCGCTCATATATTGTAATGTCAGTCGTGACTACTATGAAATCGAAGGTTCCTGTGACTCCTTTTTCAACCCCATTGTCAGTTCGGCTGATTTCACGATCAATACAGGCAGAGATTTTCTTTTACAGAACAGTCCAAATCAAAAGTTTGCAAGCTGAGACCACTTTAACAAAAGGAAAAAACCTCAATTACATCAGTATCGTACTCAACTACTTGAGTTGGTCATCTGAAGTGGCTTTAATAATTTGTTTACGTCATTTTTCTTTGTTCTTCGGGCATTTTTAAAGCATTTTAAACACAGTTCATTTATCATTTTTGGCAATGTTTTAGGTCATGAAAATCCGCCCCCTATTCACGACCATTTTTCACAGGACTGGGTCATGGTTGGTGCCTTCAAAGACGTCTCTGATTAGAGGAACAAGAAAAAAGAATAAAGCAAATAAATGAATACATGCTTATTACTAGAGTGCGCCAGGAAAGTCTCTCCGCACTGAGCCGAGTCAGGTACTCGTCTTAAAATTCGCATTTATATTGGTAGCAACTACATCGCTGGGAAACAAGTGAAGGGGTCAATACTTCAAGCTTCTCTTATGATTGTTGTGAGAACGCAATTGTGTTTTTGCAAGCTGCTGCTCGAGCAAACAACATCGTTTCTGCTGCTAGCATTCTTTCCAGCAAAATGCCACTGTGCAGAGACTTGCCTGGCGCGCTGTGTAATATCTGTGTTTGCAAGGTAAAGGATGTTATGTCCAGAAGTGGCAAAAATGTGATTTTGACATTGTATGTGAAAAATTTATATTTGATTTACTTTGTCAATGAAAACTATGTCACGTATCGGAGAAGTACAAACTGCGAAAGTTGTCTTGAGCTCTGGAATCCCTTCCCCACTTTTAACCTCAAAAAGTTGAATGAGGAATAAAAGTACCAACAATACAAGATTTGTAACATTTGAAAATAGACACTTTCGTTTCCAAGTTATAGAAAATTATTTGCATGGGTAAACGAACTACGGCATTTTGTTATTCTTTTTAGAAAATAGTAACAGATACCCTCTTCTCCTACCAACTAGCGAAAAAAGAGTTTAAATTTACTTCTGGGTGTGAAGAGTTAAGTCCTTGGCCACTTTTCTTCCGAGTTATTCATTGTGAATTTTGGGTACGGGTGGGGAGAAAACACATACATGTCGCAGTATAAAGACATCTATCTCCATATTTGGCTGGAAATATATTGAACCAATTCAATGGCTGCATTACACTAAAAGTGTCGACATTTTGCTGTGATTGTTTTAAAGAAACAAAAATATGTATAATTGTAAACTTTTAAAGTCCGTTTTTTCAAAACTATTATTTTGAACATAACGCTCTTTACGCAGCTAAAACAGACGTAGTAAAGTTAACATGATTAAGTGTATATTTATAATTAAATTTGTTCAGAGAATTGGTTGCCTCGACCGGGATTCGAACCGAGGCCTTTTGGGTTTCGAACCACATCAAAACCAAACCAAAAGGGCTGGGTTCGGATCGCGGTCGGGGCCACCAATTCTTTGAAAAAAATTTAATTATTAAAAAGCATTGTTACTAAGTAGATGGTCACAATTTGGATTTCTTTACGACTGCGAAATATATTCTTCGAGCGTAATTGCGTCCAACAAGGTGACAAAAAAGGTGATAATTATATGTATATTTATACATATTCAGATAAATGGGTGTGAACTCATTAATCTTGATGATTAAAGATTAATCTTTACTCATTAATCTAACTTTATCAAGTCAGAGCTCAAAAGCTTCCAATCTATCCGATGTGTGAGTGACACACGCGCAAATACATCCACCCTTCCATATACAAGCACATAAATACACAATGGTAAAAAACACTATTTCAAGTCTATTTTCAACAACTTGATCAATAGTAACTCCAGACATGTATGACAATTGAAAACACTTCTTTGGTCTCAGTGATTCTGAAAATCGATACCCTCACCCAGTTTGAATTTTGGACCACACACGGTACTTTTCATTTCTCTTCTTTGCTATGTATAGCTGAGAAAAATAAATTACAAAATAAAGATGGCCAAGATAGTTAAAAGAACTTTAATGCCCGTATTTTACAAATGAAATATGCCTATATCAGCAAATTTCATACGATGACAGATTTTTGTCACTTTTTCATACAGTCATAGCAAATACCGGCTGAAAGGAGAAAACTTCTAACTCTGCTTAGATGGATGGATGGAAATTTAAGCGAATAAGCCTCAAACAGGCACTTTTCAGGAAGCATAGAAAAAAGTCTAATTATTCTATCTCGGGTTCCTTCTGGACATGCGCATTCCTCTACAACATTCCGCCTTTGTCGTACATATTACAGGCTGGAGCCCCAAATATTACTACCTTATGATCCCATATATTACGATCCTAAAGCCTAAAATATCGCCACTCGAGATCGACCTGAACACGGAATTGCTAGCACGAGCCAAGTCTCACCCCCCAGGCCAGGTTCGTAGAGAATGGGCTCAAACGTATCCGCTTAAAAGAAAGTCATAAATATACGCCAAGGGAAAAACGTGCGGCGAATCTCGAACTAGTTGGTTTTGATTCAAATATCTCAAATAATTCTATAATATTTTCTCAGTTAAGCTGAAAATCATTTCACAACGATGATCTCATAAAAGATCGGAGAGTTATTCATCGTTGAAAAAGCCGACCTCTCTTGGATGTTAAGATGGTGCATCTTGAGATGATAAATCGCTGACTCAACTTCTGCGCTGTGTCACTGTGCACGAACACTAAGCCATGCGTCACATCGAGTTTTAGTAATTGGCATATGATTTCTGTAGAAGTTTATGTAGAAGCTTTCTGACGGAGTATGGTACCCCCTTAAGTTAATCTTACTCTATTAAATATCTGGGCGTAATTAAATGCCTGGCACAATTCACTCATCCTTTGCATTCGCGACGTGTTTCTCTGAATAGGTGCGCTTGCGTTCTCGCCACTCATGCCTGGAAACTAGCTCTTCTTACCCATACTGTATATTGATTGGAAGCTTAGAGTCATTCATAAAACGTAGACTTTGCGACATTCATAAAACTTAGAGACATTCATAAAACGTAGACTTTGCTAGACACTTTTCGTAAAGAAGTCCAGGTTATATAAAACAATTTACTACTGTTATGTGCTCAATTTATGAAATTTTAGGTACCGGAACGCCCCCAAATTATTAGTTTAATAGAAAAAGAATTTAATAGAAAGTATAATATAATTTAATAATTATATATAATACTTAATAACAATTAGCAACAGTGGCTCTGTGAATATAATGATTATAAAAGGAAATAAAAATAAGAGTTAATTATGATTTTATCGTTTTTTACTAATATTTTTTTACATTCGTAGAAATGATATAATTAAATGTTTTACGAAAGGCGGTGGAGCTAAAAAACGAAGTTACAAAATGTTCGTTCACTGCTCTTTATTTCCTGCTTTCCCCCTATTTTGCTCGCACGGTACCGGAACGCCGTGCCGCCAGAAATCAAGCCTTTCTGCTACGTAAACAAAACACTACAGCGCTGTTAATCAACATGACTGCAGCATCGCATATTAAGAATGATTACAAGAGTATACATTTCTAAGTTTCCGTGAATTTGAACTAATAATGTACCTAATACGAAGAAAAATGTCTCTGGACAACTCATTTCAAAATGCTGATATGCCAGGCTCAATTTGTATACTACTAGTTACACAAATAACTATTGTTATTGTATTTGAAATATTATTTTCTCTTTCACAAAATATTGTGCAAATTGTATATAGTAACATGAGAAGTCACACAATGGTGACCTTTGCTAACAAACTAAAATCTTTAACATAAGTTGCGTCGAAATGAAAAGTGGTAAGAAATCGTCTGAATTTAAGAAGTTTAATCAATACATACTTTCAATCCTTTCCTTACGTTTCTAATTAAGAATAGTAAAATAGATATTCGAGACCTAGGAAAATATGTTACGTCGTAACTCAATCATGTACTATGTAGGGACTATTAATAAAACGAAAAATATTTAATACATTATTTGTATATCATTTGAATATTCGATATTCAGGAAACTACAAACCTAATTACTTTTGTTGACCGTCAAGGAGCAATTTATCTTCTGAAAAGCATTGTGGAAATTTGAAACAACTTTTTCCCTCAGATATGACGAGAACTAGAAGAAAAGTAGTAATGACCAAAGTTTTTTTCTTATTTTAGATGACGCAGTTTGCGGAAGATTTCTCAACTTTGAAACTGGAGTTAGATGGACGAGATTTTAAGTGGACAGGGAACAGTCATTTTCGCAATTACAATTTTCACACATTTTCTATGCTGTCGCTCTCCTTGAATTGAATTCGCGGTTTCATGTAATCTCTGTAATGAGTTTGCCCCAGTATTTGAATAGAAGCAAATGCATAACTTGGGTAGGCAATTA